AGAAATACTCAAATAGTTTTAGTGTCAGCATCAATAAATGAGACACACTATTTAACCTCATTTAGGGTTCTTACTTTTGAAGATCCCCAACTATCACTTTGGATAATAGAAAAAGGATGTGAGTGTTCATATTAGGTTATGGGTAAAAATTTCTGGTGTGTTTGGGAAGTTTAAAAATCTCATAATGATAAATACTATATTTTTTTATTAATAAGCAAATGAGGATATAACCCTACGCTATAATTGAAACTAGGGTGACCCAAGTGACAATGCCATAACATGACTTATTTTTGAACGGATATCGAATCAACAGACTCAGAGAGCTAGGACCACTTGTGTGTTCAGAGAGACTTTATTCGAGCAGGTTTAAGCCTTTATGCATTCTAGCAAGGTCAATCACATTCCTCTAATTCATCACATGAAATTTACGAGAGTTTGCTAAGAATTTAGTTATACATTTTATATCATATGTAAACCTACTAATTGAAATTGACTTACAGTCCAACTGCGAAACATATAAAATAGAGAAAAAGTAATATCCCGAGAGCGCTCCACATATTCTTTTCAAGGAAGTTTTGAATGTGATACATCTGCAAGTCTAGCAGATCTAGATGTAGAAGTCTCTTGATAGCTGACTAAAACATGGATGTCTCTAGCCATATGATTAGAAGCTCCCGAGGCTATGATCTAAGGCCTAAATCTCCCACTGTTGGAGAGATGAGAGAATGATATATTTCCTTGGTTCTTCTTGAGGCTGGTGTGCTAATTTCAATTACTCCCAAGGAGTTTCTAAGTACTTCAAGTTGTTCCTTGGTGAATGGGTCAGCCAATCCTTCAGATGTGGTGGCAGCATCGGCCTTGCTCTCTTGATCATTCCTTCCTTGTTTAGGTTTCCAATATGTAGGCTTTTCATGGAGTTTCCAATATTTTTCTTTGTAGTGCCCAATTTACTTAACAATAGTCATATGTGAGACGATTTTTCTTGGACTTTGAGTCATGAGAAGAGATAGGATTATAGAGCCGAGCTTTCAACACTAGATAAACATTAATTTTTAGCATCATTAGCTTCTTTCTATTCTCTTCTCTTCTACTTCAGCAAACAGGTAGATGATGGACTTTATTCTCATGATTCTCCTTCATCCAATTCTATAGTCGCACCAGAAATTTGATAATTCTCTTCTCGATGATTGATTTATACATCACGACATCATGTGGACATTTCCACACGTCTCAAACATATCCAATTAGAGCCAATACTTTGTCCAGACATTAAAATATTGAGTGACATTTAGCTCACCTTGACGAAGATCATATAATTTGGCTTCAATCACAAACAACTATGCAGTGTTCTCAATGTCAGAATAAGTTCCTTTTGCAGCCTCTCATATTTTTTGGCTGTTTTGTTGAGCATGAAATTTCTCTTACTTCGAAGACAAACATATGATTTTAAATTTTGTTCGTGTGATGGTTATGATCTGTGAGCTTAAGAGCCGTTTCATATCGTGTGAGACGCATCACTTTTTTTTTTTAACAAGTGCACATAAATGTGTATTGTGACCAATGAAGGAAGTTATGACCATTGAGTTTATGGTTTGTAATAAAGGAAGAGAGTTCAGGGGATGTTTGGATAGAATTTATAGTATGATTCAGAACTAGCCTCTAGAGTAGAACTAGATGTTTTCATTCTATACTTGGTCATAAACCCCATACATGCCTAGTGACCGTTGCTTGCTGCATGAATGGAGTCCAATCACTATAATAAGGATTAGATGCCTGTAGGCTAGTTGGAGGGATTCTGACGGCTGCAATGAGGATTTCGACTGCTGGATGGCTGCTAGGGAGGCTCCGACTGTTGTAGGAGAGAGTGAATCATAAAATGCTAGAACTCTTAGTTTGTTCTAGCCAAATGTGCAGAGATGTTGCCAAATGTGAGGAGACGAGACCTACAATCTCGTTTGATCTCGTTCGTGAGGAGATGAAGTTGCGTTTTTATGGAAGAGTCGAAGATGAGATGACTTGTGTGTTACGATAACTCCAAAGATTTCTATTGGGTTCTGTGACTGGTGCGCACAAGAGAGACAGAGGTGGAGATATCGCTGGAGACGGAGACGTCAAATACAGTGTCGTAAACAATGTTAAAGTCAGAGAACAGAGACACTGCTGAAGGTGATGAGGATCAGAGTGTTGTTGAAGACGTAATCGAGATGAAGTGAATGCCTCGATACGAGGTGTAGAGAGGCCATGGCACGCTTCGACCTCGAAAATGAGCAGTTGCTGCGACCAAGAATGAAGATGAAGAAGGATTCTAAGGTATGCTATGATATTATGTAGAAAAAAATGAGAGAAGGAATACTCACGTAATTCTTATTACCAATCTTCAACTATAAGGCTACATATATCGGGAAATCAATCCCTCCTAATTGACAATCTTATCACATATATCTAGCTTAAACGTAGAAAGGAAATAAGTCTGAAATAAACATAAACAGGAAAAAAATAAAAACTAATCAAGGAGTTTCCCAATTTGTCTCCAATTGATTCATCCATCATTTTTTGGATGGTTGGCTTGAGCTCACCATAGAAAGGAGGTCGATCCTCATAGATTTCCATAGTTTTAAAATATTTAATTACAATTAGAAGCTAGACAAGCTTGTGCACATATTTCCTTGAAACGTGTGCCACCTGGAACTTGGTGCATTCAGGGTTGACCTGATGAAACCAAGGGTCTTATAAGGTTAGTCTTAGGTAAAGGATCACTACAGAATCTTCCAATTTTTTATTGAAGGTCTCGAGGAATTTCCTTTAAAATTGTAAAATTATTCATTTTTTGAATTATGATTTTGAATTAATTTGGAAGCTCTGGGTGCTTGATACTTTATATAACTATAAAATGAGTTTTCCTAACTCTGCCCCCATCTCTCTTGGTTCCACCATTGCTTAATTGGCGCAAGTCGTAATCGTTAAATACATCCCAAATATGCTACTGAAGAACACTCAACTAAGGACATGGGTGATAGTTAAGCTTGGTTTTGTATACGTAGTATTATTGAGAGATGAAGGGTCAAACTGATCAATATTTAATGTTTTTTTATCCTAAATAAACCTAGTTGACTTAGTTTGTCAACAAGAGAGGGTTTGCAAGCTATTTATTGTAGTTAGTTTAACCAGTAGCCATAAGTTGACTCTTATTAGATATTTTGAGTGTTTAAGGATGGCTAGTATACTTCATGACAATTACTCTCAGTTGATGAGATGCTCAAACATGAACGAAATAATTTCAGGGAGACCCATATGGTTTTGAGTGGTTTAAATATATTCTTACATGATCACCGATGCTCAACACATGGGCTTGATCGATTCATATTGGGATTGGCTCATATTTAGTCTAGGTAGTTCAAATTGTGTTTGATCTTATATCTTATTGAAAAAATCCGAGCAGGTGTGACCTACTATTCTAATTTTGAAAGGTCCTTGATTGTTGTTTACAATTCTAATTTGATGAATGTTTGAGGATTGAGGTGTTAGCTTACTTTCCTTTTTAAGGCTAATTATTTACGTGTTTTTCTTGTGATGTTGACGATACAAGCAATCTTAAAGGTATGTAGGGGATCTAATTTATGCCATTTATATTTTAATTTGGTATTGATTTGATGTCCAAGGCTTATCACTCTTAAACAACTTGAATTTTAACTTTGGTGTTTGATATTTGATATGCATTTGATGTTTGAGGCTTAAAAATCCGTTTATAAAGTTGCCTAGAACATTGTATCTTACTATATTAACTTTAACAGTGCTTAAATACTCAAATGTTGGATTGGCTCATTGGTGGGACTTATGATAGGCAAGACGGAATGAGGTTGTACATCAGTTGTATTTTGATTTGAATGGATTGTGCTCTGGATGTAAGCTTGCTTGAAGACAAGAAATTATAACCCATGTTTTTAAAAAGTTCATTAGTATTTATGATCACTGTAAAGAACTTAGGGGAGTTTGACAATTCACCGACAATAACACTAGTTTTACAACCCCAATTCCTTAGAAGTCCCGATGCTTTGATTTGATTTGATGTTTTGATGTCTGATTGAACTTTTACTTGAGGTTGAGAACTTGTTACTCGTCTTATAGTAGTTGAGAGTTGCAAAACTAGGGATAAAAATGGCCCAAGTTTAGGTCTTGCATCTATTTTCCTAGAGAGGCCCTAACGATGGGTATTACATCCTTAGTCAACAGGCAAGGCAGCTCTATGATTCAAACTTAATAATCATAGATCAAAGAAGTCCCGAGAAGGTCTTGTTTGTGCTTACCTTGCTTGACTTTGTCATGATTTGATTTACTTTGTTTTGAGTTGGATTTGATTTGTTTTAGTGACTGATTGTGCCCTAAAGCAATGCACCTTGCATGCATGGAGTTCACCTATGATATATCCCAAATTAGGGTTTTGGAAACACTCTGCGCTAATCAGTGTAAGACATTTGACCTCCGCGGCCTTTGTAGCTTCTTTGGGGATTTGGACCAGGTGTTCTTCTTAAGAAAATATTCAATCATTAATTTATTACTTTTGTTTTCATTGGTGGTCCTTGGAATTATGAATTTCTAAAACTAAATTGTATGATTTCAGACATTGCATTATTTAGCTTTATAAAAAACTCTAGACTCTATGGCGTTTTGCATTAATATATCACCATGTTCTTCTTGAAACGCCTTTGCATGGTCCTTAACATGTGAAATGGTTTGAAGACAATTAAACATTGTTGTTTTGTCTTGGAATTTCAGATGAATCCTATCTGAAACACTTGAAATACAGATCAGTTTGTTTTTAAAAGCTCAGTATAGAATGCATGGGCTACATTTAATAAGTTACTTTTTTTTTCACAAGAACTTGAGCCTAAAAATTATTATCTTTACATTTCTTATGGTTTTCTAATTATGCTAATTGTTTTTCTTTTCCATTATAATATTGCTCTAATGAAAAACTCAATGTTGTTTCCTTTATCATATAGACAGAAAAGGTTGATTTGGAGAATACCCTTGTTACAGAAAGTCAAATACAATCAAAAGAGCATGAATCTGCGTCAACATCAAGGAATGATAAGGGTAGCGGTATGGTATTTTTTGGATAGTTTTTTTTTTATTTCAAACATTTATTTCTATTATTTGCTTGGTGGTATTGATTTGTACCTACTATTCGGTTCCTTTTTAGTAGATAGTTTCATGAAACTTGTTTTAGCTTCCCAAGTTCTTGGACTTAATGGGAAACCTTTTTTTTTTCTATGAATAAGGCAACAGTGGACGACATCACTGAGCTGATTATGTATGTTGAATTTGATATCATAATCTGCTAGATTTAGTCTTTTCGAAAATTAGGCTGTCTGCTTAAATATATATTGAACATAATATCATGATCTATTCTGTTTGTTGGGAGAGATGGATGCCACTATCCTCTGAACATTTAACCTCTTAGATTACGAACTTTTGGTTTGAAACTAGCGTTCTTGATCTGGAGACAATGTAGTATCGTCATAAGTTGCAGAATCTTTTGTTAAAAGATTGAAAACAAAGAAACATTAGAAACTCTGTAACCATGGTTATGGCTTGGGAATTTTTTAACAATAATTTAAACAAAAAAGTTGATATTATTAAATTACCAACTCAATTTGTTTGTGATTTACAGCTAGATTTAATTCCTGGGCATATTCAAATTTAGGGCTGTAAACGAGCCGAGCTTGAGCGAGCTCAGGCT